AGAAGAAAATATGTTTCAGGGAATTAGATGGGAGCATAGCAGTGCGTATTTCTCTCTGATGCAGCTCAGAGTCAGCAGGTTTGCCCCTGGGCTCAATTCACTCCAAGCCATCTAGGATATTATGTAGGTAATTCAGTTCACTGATCAGCCAAATCTTAGTGAGCTATCACTAGCAAATCATTCTGAACCCACAAATAGCTCTTGGATTAAATGTCATTCACTCCGTATTTTACAATCCATGCAAAGTATATAAAACTGTAGACCATTGTAGCACCATATACTAATCATAAACTAATATCTTCATTACCCTCAGAATGTAGTAATAGTCCATTTGCAGTAGAATTAAAGCAAATGAGATAGGATTATGTAACACTTTTTACTTTCAAACTGCCCCAAAGTGGCACTAAAATGCCATGATGCAAAACCATGAGGCTCAGAGATGTCTTTATTTCCCAGAAAATAATGTACAGATCTTCAGGGAAAAAAAAATAATAAAAAAATTTAAAAATCTATCTTTATGTAAGGCATGTGAAATGAAATAATCATTATTTTTAATATCAGTTAGAAGTACTGTTCTCCTCTTGTCTCAGAGCTTCTTAGTTATCATAAAATAATAGAATGGCTGCAGTTGGAGGAGACCTTGAAGATCAGTCCCCAGCCCCCTGCTATGGGCAGGGCTGTCCTGCCCAAGCTCAGGCTGCCCAGATCCCCATCCTACCTGGCACTGAGCCCCTCCAGGGATGGGTATTCACAGACTCTCTGGGCAGCTGTGCCAGTGCTTCACTGCACTCTGAACAAAGAATTTTTTCCTACCGTCAGTCGCTGATCAAGTTGTGCAAAATCAGTTGTTCGAGTGTTGTTCAAATGTTCTTTATTCCTAGGCTGGCACCACTCACAGCTACTGCATGGGAGCGGAGCGGATCAGGGCAGAGTGCAATGCTCAGTACTTGTACTTTCATCACCGCTCCTTCCAGGCTGAGCGCATGAATGTTACTGCAGTGGCTGTGGGACTTCTAAGGTTGCCTGCAACAAACAAGACCACGGAAAGTACTTAACTGCTGTTATGTCATGTGTACTTCTATTTTTGTGCAAGTAAGTTTGCATTAAAAGTGCAAACATGGAGAAATCCATCAGGGTGGTGGATGGAAAGGGAAGTGGGAGAGGAATAGCAGGATCCTGCCCATGCCCCAGCCCCTGTCGCACCACTGAGCTTTCTGTTTCCATCTAGACACCCTGCCAAGGCTTAAAGATCATATCATAGCTTATCATAGAATGGCCTGGATTGAAAAGGACCACAATGATCATCTAGTTTCAATCCCCCTGCTATGTGCAGGGTTGCCAACCACCAGATCAGGCTGCCCAGAGTCACATCCAGCCTGGCACTGAATGCCTGCAGGGATGGGGCATCCACAGCCTCCTTGGGCAACCTAAGATCTCCTTAAAGAAACAAACATGGCTTTAAAAAATAAATAAACAAGGGTAAATAATATGATAAAGGACATCTTGGCCTTGTATATTTTATAACAGGCAAGTACCATTATGGAATAAATCACTTTAAAACCTAATGCTATGGAACATCCCAAATTCATTCAGCTCAAACGCTGTCTAAGCAAAATATGCAGTTATGAAATTCTAGTGATTTGCATCGTGGTTTTGTACTCTAAGCTTTGCATCAAAGAGAACCGAGAGGAAGTTCTCTATGGAGTACTATTTCTGGCAAATTTCTGTGGGTTTATTTATTTTTTTTCTGGGTAAATGATTTAATTTCTTTCACAAAATAGTTAAAAAACATCACCAAATAGTGGCATTATTACCAAGCATGCACTTAAAAATTAAGAGAAGTGATAGAAACTGAAAGGAAAACCAAATCTCAAATAATTGGAAACAGTCTCATTTTAAAAAAGCTTGAGGAAAAGAGGATAAACCAGTTCATGGAGTAGTGGCCAGAAATGTCTGCCTCCATATCACAGCCTACGGAATACCTGCCTGTATCTCAGCTTCTCTGGTTCACAGACATAGGTACCTGTAAGCAGCACTCATGCTGTGGCTGACGCACACATACAATGCACACATTCTACTGATCTTGCCAGAGACCTCATAATATCAGCACTGCTGTGGAATATGTACACAAGGGACAGTGTGTAATACACTTCCATCTGTATTATCTCATTGTATACGATACATACAATTGCATAACTGCATGCTTTATATATACAATGAATACTGCATATATACTTTAATGAAAGTTACATTTATTCTATATAACAGCAAAGAACAAAAAATTAAAGACTAATTGAAACATTCTGAAACTGGACATTTTGTCAAATGAGAAACTTTCCAGTACCTCTGTGTTACTTCTCAGTTAAGAGAAGGCCTTAATTAGACTATTTATTAATTTAATAAGGCTGCGGGCCTTATTTAGTCAACATTACCTAAATTTTCAGAGAGCACAGATTTGTTGAATGCTTTCTTATAGCTTTTCTATAGAGGTAACGCCTTAGGGTCTCTATGCCTTACAGTACAAATTTATCTTCAAATCATATCCTCCACTGTATGCCCCAGAAAAGGCTCAAAAGCACTATCCTCCCCATTTCCCCATGAGAGGTAGACCCCTTAGAGAACAGAGCTGTAGTTGTTAGAAGGCAGGAGAGAGGCCCAGTGCTTGATGCCTAAGGCTGTATCTAGGGCACTTCTTGCCCTGTGTACTGACCCCAGTGGTGGCTGTGAGCCTCTCATTATGCCACTGCCCTTCCAGATAGACAATTAGAAAGTCATCAGTGTTTCTCCTGGTAGCTGAGGAAAAAAATGATAGAAATGAAGGAATGGAGGAGGGACAAGAGGCCTTATAGAAGGATTTGGGTAGGCTGGGGCCGTTGGATAATCAGCAATGGCACAAAGTTCAACAAAGGAAAATGCTGCTTCTGCACCCAGGATGGATAACACTGGACACTGGCAGACTGGAGCAGAGTGGCTGGGGAGCAGCTCAGCCAGAAGGGACCTGGGGGTGCTGGTGACAGCAGCTCAGCACAAGCCAGCAGTGTGCCCTGACAGCTAAGGGGCAAACCACCTTTTGGGGGTCATTAAACATAACATGGCCAGCTGGTCAGAAGAGGTGATTCTTCTGCTGTATTTAGTGTTGGTGTTGCCTTACCCTGAGTACTGTGTGTGATACTGAATTCCACAATATGAAAAGGATGTTAAGGTGCTTGAATGCATCCAGAGGGGGGTAACACAACAGGTAACAGGGCTGGAGGCATGTTCTGCGAGGAGAGGCTGAGGACATTCAGGTGTCCAGTCTGGAGAAGAGGAGGCCAAGTGGTGATCTGAATGCTCCCTGCAGCCCCCTGAGCTGGGGAAGCAGAGGGAGGTGTAGGGCTCTGCTTCTGAGAGCACAGAGCTGCAACCAGGGGAGGTTCAGACAGGGCAATAGGAAAAAAAGACCACTGTGAGGGTGGTCAAACACTGGAACATGCTCAGAATGGTTTGGGTTAGAAGAAACCTTCAAGCCCATCCAGTTCAACCCCCCACCATGGGCTGGTTGCCGCCCAGCAGCTGAGGCTGCCCATGGTCCCATCCAACCTGGCACTGAGCACCTGCAGGGATGAGGCATCCGCAGCTCTCTGGTCAGCCTGTGTCAGTGCCTCACCACACTCTGAGTAAAGAATTTCTTCTGACAGTTAACCTAAATCTCTCCTTTTTTTAGTTTAAAGCCATTCCCTCTTATTCTATTGCTATCCTCCCATGCGAAAAGTCAGTCTTCCTCCCACATATGAGCTCCCTTCAAGTACTGGAAGGCCGCAATGAGGTCTCCCTGGAGCCTTCTCTTCTCCAAGCTAAACAAACCCAAATCCCTCAACTTTGCTTCACAGGAGAGGTGCTCCAGCCCTCTGCTCATCTCTGTGGCTCTCCTCTGGACCCGATCCATCAGGTCCACATCTTTCCTGTACCAAGTCCTCCAAGGCCCAGGATTAATATTCCAGATGGGGCCTCACAAGGACAGAATAGAGAATGACAGTCCCCCCCCCCCTCTCCTGCTGCCAACCCTCTGCTGATGCAGCCCAGGATGCTGGTGGCCTTCTGGGCTGTGAGCACACACTGCTGGATCATGTGCAGCTTTTTGTTCACTGGGATCCCCAAGTCCTCCACAGAGCTGCTGTCAATGAGTACTTTCCCAATCTGTACTACTAACTGGGATGTCCCCAATCCAGGTGCAGCACTTCACACTTGGCCTTGTTGACGTCATTGTAGGTCAACTCAAACTTCTTCAGTTCTCTTTCCAACTTCTGCTAAGTGGAGAGGAACAACATCAGCCGCACTTTGGCTCAGCGGGGCTACAACCATCCAAGCACCCGCTTCTGTGCACGGTGGGTGGGTGCTGCTGCACATGGTGTGCTGGTGGCAGGGCTGAGACGACAGGAAACCCAAGGCCAGAGGAAAATTGAAATGCTTTCTTTAAGACACGTTTTGGATGAAGGATACCTTTTTAAACAGAAAACTAAAATGATGCCTCCTATAGCCACACGCTGAAAAACCCCACCCAGAAGGTGCCTAAAACCACACTTATCTTATCGAACAGAAAAACCGTGAAGTCAAAAGCGTTCACGAAGAAAGGCGACCACCCCCGCCGAGCGCCTTCAGGTCGGGCTGCGCTCGAGGGGGGCGGCGGTGGCCGCCAGGGGGCGCTGCAGGCGGAGCTCCCGCCCGGGCCTCCCTCCGCGCTCGGCGGCGGGGCCGGCTCGGCGGCGCCGCATCATGTGGGCCGGCCCCTTCCATGGAGCCGGGGCTGCTGCCGAGCGCCTCCTGGGCGGACGCCGCCATGAGGCTCTGAGGGGCGGCTGCGTGCGGAGGAGCCAGCCGGTCGCGCCGCCGAGCGCCCCGAGCACGGTGCCGGTCTCGCCGCCGGGCAGGGGAACCCGGAGCCGCGGCCGCTGCTACTGCTGCCGCCGCCGCCGCCGCCGCGGGTCGGGCCGGGCGGGCGGGCGGCCCGCGGCCATGTAAAGCGGCGGCAGCCGGGGGAGAGCCGAGCCGAGTCCAGCCCGGGGAGAGGAGCCGCCGTCGGCGGGGAGGCCCCGCGGGGGGAGATCATGGCGACGTCTAATCTCTTAAAGGTGAGAGCGGGGCCCGCGCGCGGGGTGAGGCGGCCGGGGCCGGGCTCCGGGGCCGCCCCGCACCGGCCGGGCCTGCGGGAGGCGGCACGGGCAGGCCGCGGCGCTGCGCCCCGGGCGAGGGGGCGGCCCGGGCCCGGCCTCGGCTGTACGGCTGCAGGCTCGGCGTGCGGCCCGGCCGGCCGTGGCCTCCCGCTCACGTCTCACACAGCCGCGCGGGGACCCCGCTCCGCGCTGCCGGACGGGGTCGGGCCTTTGTTTATTTCGGGGAACCCCGCGGTGCGGGAAAAGAGTTGTGAGTTGAACAAAGAGTTGGGGAACGCCTTCGCCGCGAGCAGGTGTCGGCGGTCGGGTTGTCGGCGCGTTCTGGCGTTTTCTTTTTTGCTAACCGCACTTTGCTGCGAAGGAAAAACTCCTCGAGGCCTTTAATCGGCTCTGCTGTGGGCTCAGATGTTCGCAGGCTCCTTCCTGGTGTTTGGTGGCAGATGTCAGTCACCCCGAAGAGAGCCAAGTTTGCGCAGAAGTTGTGGCTGTGACGGGCCGTGGCCCGGCCAGGGGCTGCGCCTCCTGAGTGTGCGGTGTGCGCGGGGACTCGGCCCTGTGTGGCCTCCAGGGCTGTGCCAGCGTGCCCGGAGCCGGCCTGCCCCGCACAGCTGCTCCTGGTGTGCTTTGGGACGCCGGCCTGATGGGGGTATGAGGCCTTCAGAAGGCTGCCAGGTTTGGTTACTTGTATCAGGTAGCGGTATAAAATGGACGTATACGTGTGGCCAGTTCTGTGTGTTATACTTCAATATGGTTCTGAAGAGGTGCTACGTGCATTTCAGCTACCAGACCTATGCTGCGTGTATGGGTTTGCCCTGAAGCTGTTCTGAGACACTCCATGAGAAGGAAAAAGAAATAATCAATAACCTCATGTCTTCCTCGTGTCCAAAAAAGGTTTCACTTCTAAAAATAAGCACACAAGCATACACACATGCTCATATATATAAAAAGCTATTGAAATTGACATGTAGTTAAAATGAATCTTCATTCACAGAATGGCCAGCTTTGGAAGGGACCTCAAGGACCATGAATCTTCAACCCCCCTGCCCACAGGCAGGGCCACCACCCTTCCCGTTTAATACTAGAGCAGGCTCCCAGGGCCCCATCCAACCTGGCCTTGAACACCTCCAGGGACGGGGCATTCACAACCTGTCTGGGCAGCCTGTTCCAGCACCTCACCACTCTCTCTCTGTAAAGAACTTCCCCCTCACATCCAACCTAAATCTTCCCTCCCTTGTTCAATTACCTTTTCTCCCCCTCCTGCATCCCCCTCAGCCCCCCGCCCCATAACTGGTTATCTAGGTATTAAAGCTGATAAGACTGAACTAAAAATCTCAAATGGAAGAATTCAGGTCTGCTGGAGAAAAGCTTCGTGTCCCACTCGCAGCTATAGAGACAAAATGGGATTTCTTTAGGAGAGCATTGTTTTAGAGCTTGGACAAAGCTCAGGCAGTTCTGCTTGTTATTGCTTTAGTCCACTGCTTTGCAGTACTTCTGAGGATCTCAGGAAAGGCCAACGTGTGCTCTGACAAGACATGGCTGTATAGCGTATTGTAGCTAGAAGAAACAGGCCTGTGAGATCTGTCAGCATTCCTCTTCAGCCGTTTTGAAAGGATAAGCGTACAGTAAGAGCAAATAAAGTCAAAGGCCTTGCTTTTGTGAGATGGCTTTCACTGATCTGAAGCCGTTTTGTTGGTGTAGTGGCATCTCTGCAGTTGGCCTTTAAATCATTAGCATTTTAAATGGACAGAAAGATACACGTGCACAGTGTGTTTCTGGAAAAATGCTACATAGGTGTTTAGAGCACCTGGCAGTATTTTCTAAGCCATACATCTTACTAATCAGGGAGTTTTCTAAAGACAATGAACTATGACCGCTACCTCGTGAAAGAGAAGGTCATACAGTGATTTGGCTTTATTCATAATGACACACTAAACCAATAAGATAATTGTGACTAGATAAGGGCTTTTGTTCCCCAGCTGTGATGCTCAGTGTGCTCCCATTGCAGCGAGCTGTTGATTGCAGGTTTTTGCCGATTGACAGTGCCTTATGCTGATGAAATGCAATTCAGAAGAAAGCACTGTCCTCTGCATAGTAAAAACATACAAGATTTTTTGGCATTAAAAGCAAAACAACAAAGCCCTAACAGTAATCAGACCCATGTCAGGTTTAGGTGGGTCTCAGTTTCGCTAGGATAAACAGGAACTGAGAGTTTTCTGTTTTTCCCCATCTTGTCTCAACCTTCTGCATACTTGAGAAAATGAAGTGAAATACTCCTTTCTCATTCTACTAATGAATCCTGGCTGAATCAATGCCTGATAGCCTCTCTTCACTTCACAGGGCATTACTTCAGCTGTGCTGGTGCAGCTTTCATAATTGCGAAAGGTAAATTAATTTCTCAGGGCATGTGTTGGAGTGTCCGCTGTTGGCTTTGCAGTGACGATTTGTGATGTGAAGGCACACGGGTTTCTCTGCAGCTCCTGGAACACAAAGCGGCTCAGCTTATCACAGTGCAGAGGAAACCTGTAGCTGTAGCCACGTGAGCTGGTCTCCATGCTTCTGTAGGCCTTATTGGAGCTGCTGGAGGTGGCAGCAAATGCAGAAGTTGGGGCAAGCAAGTTGAATTGCAGTGTGAGCCTGGTGTTAGGGGGGAAGCAGCAAAGCAAATAGCAGGTTTGCTGTAGACTTAAGTAAGAACCATGATCTACCTTTTGTTTGTTTCAGCTGTGTTTTGTGGGTCTTATTGCTCTGCGCTTAAAAATGGAAGCATTTCTGCAGTTTTCTAGTTATTCAATGTAAAGAAAATATCTCCAGATATGTTTAGTTTATCCTGCCTATTTCCAATTAGAGCAGCTTGTGGTGAATGCTGCATTCCACTCAGTTAGGCAGCAGAGCTTTCCCCACGGCTGTCTTTCTGCTTTGTGTAGTGACTTTGCTATGATCATCTCACTGATACATAGAGCTGCAAGAAGCAGAGAGCAATCAGAATGGGAATTCTCCTGCTTATTGTAGGCTAGGACCTCATCTGTCTTACCTCATCCCTTTTGAATTAGCCTTAATACAGTGTCTGAAAACAGCTCAGTAGTAAAAGCACAGACGTACTGAAGTGTGCTCAGTGATGGAGGATGCTGCTTTTTCACAGTACTGTGCAGTGCATCTGATGGAGATCAGAACTGCAATTCTGTGTGGCCTAAACTAGTGAGTGTACACAGTAAAAAGCACTGGGTGGCCGAGTGAATGTTTCAAAGTACAGAGGGACAGCAGCATGGAGGCTGCCGGAGGCTGCTGGGACCTGCCTGGCCTGGGAGCCTCGCTCTCCCCATCCCCAGGCTGGCTCCTGGTGTTTATTTAGACTCTCACTCTGTACTCCGTGCCTCCTCCTGCTGTGCTTCTCTTCACCTTGCTTGCAGTTATGGAGAGGAGATATGTGTTATGCAGTAGGACCCAAGTGAGGAGAGCTGTTGGTGCACCTGCTCTGTTTGCATTATTTGTGTTATTTTACTAATTCTATGTAATATCTACCAACAGTCTGGAAAATTTTTTGCCTGCCATTGTGAAATGTTGCATGTAAGTGTTTATTCAGTGAAGAGAGGAATAGGAAGAGTGAAGCTGTAGTACGTATTTCAATATAGTAGTGACATTGTATACTTTTCAAGTGAAGTTGTGTTAAAATGGAGCTTCAAATCTCCCTGAGTACATGTAGCGAAGTGACTTTTGAAACGCATTAAATTTTAAACTCCAGGAGTGGTCATGGAGCCAGGGTATGGCCATCAGTCCTCATTTGTGCTTTCAGAGAAGTGTGTGTGGTGTAACTTTTAGTTAGAGGTGCCGCTTGCCTTCCTGCTTACCTTCCCTTGGAGCTGTGGCTCCAGGCTGGGCTGGATGGGGCTGTGAGCAGCCTGGTGTAGAAGGAAGTGTCCCTGCCTGTGCAGGGCTTGGAACTGTGTGGTCCCTGAGGTCCCTTCCAACCCAAACCATTCTGTGATTCTTAGTGTGTGCTGGGAAGTTGGGGTATAAATGTCACAGATACTGCTTCATGGAAACAAAGGTTTTCTTCATCCATGTTTTATAGTGAAACGCTGGCAAAGGTATAGCATTCATTTTTATTCTTTTGTCTTCTGCTGTGTTCAGGGCTGAAATGCAGCACAGGCTTTTTACCTCTAGCAGAAAACATATGGGATCTGAAGCTTTGCTCCAAAGGGGAACTTTGGAGGAAGCTGGTTTTACTCATTTGATAATGCCTTTTCTGGAACTTGTAACTCTACAGCAGCTCGTCTTTCAAGTTTTTTAACCCGCAAAGGGGGACTGGGAACAGAAATGTCTGCAGGAAGAAGCTAATCGCTTTCTGAGGAATAGGGAAGATGAGAGAAAGCCATCAAAGTTTGGGAAGTAATTGTAAAGACAGGCCTATCTGGGGCAGCGTGTGTTCTGTTCTTGGGTGTTCAAAGATGAGGCACTCAAGTTATTTTTTTTTTACAGGAGAAGATACCAGTGGGCAAAACCGTCTCTCTGAATTTCACAAGCAGTGTACAGTATTTTCTTACGTGTTGAAAGGTTTCTGAACTTGGACAGGGGCTGCTTGCTTGAGACTCTTGTTCTGAAGCCATTGCAGTGGCGAGATGGTGCTGCTAGAGTTACTGTGGTGCCTGCTGCACTTCTATCACGTAAAGCCGAGGCATGGGAGCTGCAGGGGATACAGGTTCTGAACTGTGCTTATTCTGAATATTAAACAACAAATGTATTTTTAAATTTCCATGTACATGTTATTCAGAAGGAGATGACTTCAAGAATGTAGCATGCTGCTTGTGCTTATTTCTCTGAAGGGCTGCTAGTGGAGAACAGCGTGCTTGTCAGAATTTCAAATAGTTGGACTGTATTATGTGCTGTGTTTGAAGTGAATTGTGTCACACGTAGTATGACTAGCCAAGACAATGAATGACCTGTTCAAAAGCAAACTTAGCAGTGGAGATAACCAACAGTCTCCTGTCACAGCTCCCAACCAACTCATTTTTTTAATTGCAAATTTTCTTTTTAAGATGTGGAGCAGTAGGCAAATAAGTTTACAGTGTGTGCAGTGAAACTCGTTTCTCTCTTAAAGTGGTTTTGTTCTGTTTTTCCAGTAATGGCAGTCTGCCTGTATACTACAGTGAGTGAGGTTTTTTGGGACAGTCAGAATGAGATGGGAGCTCTTGGATTCGTTAGCTTTCCTCTTCAATGATATAGCAAGTTTGAAAAAATTCACCTGGGATTAGATTTTTTTGGCATGAATTATTCTTAATTGCACCATCTGTAATGTTGGCTAATTGCCTGGGGCAGTTAAGCCATAGGAGGGGGCTGTGATACAGCAGCTCCTACATTCCTCTGCTTCCCTCTTCTCTGTGCTGTTTGTACCAGATGCCCACTAGAGAAGAAGATACGTGGCAGCACCCACAGGTACTCCTGGTTCCTCGCTGCTGCGTTGGTTGCAGTCATTTATTCCAGCCAGGTTTGCAGCTGTGCCTCGTGGCTGTTGTTGTGTATCTTGGCTGCAGCGGTGCGGCTGAGTGGCACTCGTTGTCCATGTATAACTGCTCTCACAGGTGAAGGACATTTTCCAGAACGTGTTGTGTTGTAACTGGTGCGGTGCGTTAAGGCAGAAGCTGGTTAGCTGCTTCTGCTGCTTTTGGAAATAATAGTTACTGCAAAAAGCTTTGTTCAGCTGAGGGGTTGTTGCTCAAACGCCAGGTTGCCTGAGATAGCTCTGACAGGAAGGTAGTTTTGTGCTAACAATGGAAACTGCAGTTCTTAAAGGTAATTCCTATAATAATTTATTTTACTAACGGCACATTACTTTCTTCCTTTTAGAATAAAGGTTCTCTGCAATTTGAAGACAAATGGGATTTCATGCGCCCTATCGTTCTGAAACTTCTTCGTCAGGAGTCTGTCACGAAACAGCAGTGGTTTGATCTGTTCTCGTAAGTACTTCAGCATTCTGCATCCTTCTCTGCAGTAGGGGTATTTGTGGTTCTGCTGATAGAGAAGTCAGACCGTGCCCATGGCATGGGAGCACACGGGACGGAAGTGCTAGCTTACACTTTATTAGGTGTGCCTACTTCAGAATAAATGTACAGAAGTACTGTTTTATTGAGATTCAGATCTTTGCAGATAAGGTGGAGGAAGAACAGCAGAAATTTGCCTTCAGCCAACAGTAGTAAATAAGCCTTCCACCTGCTCACAAAGATTTTGTTAGAGAGACATTGTTGTTTGCTGCTTGGGCAGTAGGTTCTCGAGGGCAGTTCGTTATTCCGATTCAAATGCTTTTCTTCTAAAGTAACTTAAAAATGCTCCTGAAGTAAAAGGATAATGCAGATAAACTGGTATAATTTGAGTAATTGAATAGCACATATAGCATTTTTCAGACATTGTTTGCATCGTTGTACTTTCTAAAAATCCGAGGGAAGCAGATTGCTCTCTCGAGGTAAAAACATCATTGCATTTTCCTCCTTCCAAAAATCCTGAATTTACTTCCTGTTGCTGATTTTTTTTTTTTTTTTCTTAAAATACATCATGTCACCTTTGTCAGCATAGTAAGGAAGTGAGTTATAACCTACATATCAAAAGTTTATTTAAAATTGTCTTGGTCTCAACATGGAGTTGTTTTCCCTCAAATGCTTCAGTTGCTTAGTGCTGCACTTTCTTCTGCTTTTTAAAATCACTCATTAAATTTTATTTAATTTGAAATGATTTGTCTTCCAGACTGCATCTTTATTGCTCTTTTCAGTAAGAACAGTGCAGTGATTCTTCTTAGAGCCATCTTACTGCACCTGTCATGCTTTTCTGCCAACCAAACAGAAAGGTAGTTTATCATGCAATGAGTTTTAATATCTCATGATGTCACAGCCATAGGAGTTGCCAGAAACATGGCGTAGTTAAATTACAAATTCAGTCCTGAATCATTGCTTTCATTTTTTTTAATAATTAGGTCAGTAATTCTACATGAGTATTGAATTTTTTCCTTTATTATTTTGCTGGTTTGCTGAATTGTTGGATCATACTTAAGTGCCTTTATGGCAGAAATAAGTATATTGAAGGAAAAGAGCCTGCTCTTCTAGGTTTCTATTTTTGGACAGTGATTTTGTTAAGCTTTTTAAGAAAAGTATGGAAGATGTGTCTTCTGCCTGACCTTTGTGTATGATCTTCCAGCACTGCTTTTTACTTTGGTTATGAACTGATGGCATTCTAAGTTCATTAACACTTTTTGTCTGTGAAATCTATGTAAGTCCCACAGGTTAGCTAGACCTTTGTAAATTCTTGGCCAGCACTCTTGTTCTGTGTAAAAGGAGCTTTTTATCGTGCATTTTGTGTTTTCAGTTTCAGACATTTTGTCTTTTCAGTTAAACTAATAAAGTTGCTTTTGTATTGGAATAGCTGTGTTGAATTAATAGGAACAAAGCCATCCTGTAGATTATGTAGTTTCTTACCTGCAAAGGCTTGGCCTTGTTACTGAAAGGAGGAAGAAAATACAGAGGGAGGTAACGAGTTTAAAAAAGCTTGGTAGGCCACATTATATATGATGCTATAGTTGAGGAGTGTAACTTGCCTTTTTTGGTCTTTAATATAAAAAGGAAATAGAAGTTAAGTTACGCTTGCTGAACTGTCAGCTAGGAAGAACGGGAATGTGTTTGAATGTTGATTGAAATTGATCAGCAGCATTTTGCTTTGTGATGCTACTTGGGAGCTTTTCTGCAGTTGAGCTGCACTTTAACGTGCTTCCACTGTCATGAAATGTTTGTGATCTTATTAAACCAGTTAAATATTGAAATTACCTGATCTCAAATCTCTCAAAAGCAAGGTTGGTTTCCTTTGCAGTGGAAGGATGTTGTAGTGCGTGGATCGTGGAACTCTGAGTGGACGCTGCATCTTAAGAGTATGTAGAATGACTGCGGGCTGAGTAGCAGTGCTTCTGTTGGCACGTAATTTCCATCTTTGTCAAAGAAAAGCTTTAAAAAGTTGTCCTTAATGCAGTGGGATTACTGGATAGGCGGTGGAAGCAGAATTGACTTCTACGTGTTTTTTAAATCTTCAGCACAATCCTTTCCTAGGCAGGTTGCTGTTACTGCTTCCTGTGCTTTCTTAAAGCTTCAGTTTCTTCTCCAAACACATTTTCCTGTTTGTGTTGTGCAGTCTAACCACTTATTTTTTTTTTTTTAAGTGATAAACAAAATGCATATTTTTTTTCTTCTTATATATGCTAAAATTATGACTGCTTCTGCCTCGTACATCAGAGAATTAAGGTTTGAGTGATGGTTACTAAAAGGTGAATAAATTGTTTTCTAGAGACGTGCATGCAGTTTGCCTGTGGGATGACAAAGGTCCAGCAAAAATCCATCAGGCTCTGAAGGAAGACATCCTTGATTTTATTAAGCAAGCACAAGCAGTAAGTTCTTAATATTTCATGACTTCTATTCGTATTATTAGAAAAAAATTACCCAACAGTTCTGACTTTCTTTGGATCTAAATGCATTTCTTTTTTGCCTGAAATGCTGTGATATTCCAGAGATTGTAATTACTATGTGAACTTCTCTTGAAAAACAGAAGACAGCCTTAAGCGCTTGCTGTGGCTCATTGTTTCATTGTAGGCAGTGTTGTTTTTTTTAAAGCACTATTTTTGTTTGTCCAGCAGTACTTATGGAATTTTCTTCCACTTGAACATTTCTTGAGGCAAAATTTACTATAAGAAATTACTGCCTGGAAAATACTTTTTGTCTGGCTTCAGTGGTGTGCTGATGTATTCATCAATGGCTTTAAAATACATCCAATGTATGGCACATTAGAAACATCTGTTCTGTTGGCTCAGCAAGATTTGCTGTCTAGTTTTATGGACTCCCCACAAATAATCGAAGTCATCAGTAGATTCAAGGGAAGCTTCTGTTTTTAAAATGTGTAGCAAAAGATGCAGCAAGATTTTTTTTCTTAATTTTATAATTACTACTTTTGTAAATTACATTATAAAGGTTTGGGGAGAAGAAAAATGTCTTTAAAATCTTTCTTTAGTGAAGAGATTTGCACCACAGCAGCTTTGTTCAAAGGAAAGCAATTTCTTATGCTTGAAGCCTTATATACATATTGATTTCTTTTATTTCAGTCCCTTCAGCTTGCTAGCACACATGCATAAATGCTGTGCTGAGCTGGGCCTTCAGTATGGTCTGTGTGAGCTGTTGTTTTAGAGGCATTGCTTTAGGCCTTGTGATAGGCATTGTACTGTGCTCCCAGGCATTACTAAAATATACAAGTTAACTAGCTGTCTGGGCCTAATGAGAGCCTTGTAAATGCATTAAATTAAACTTTACTGCTCTGCATAATATAACACAATTCTTACAGGTTGGTGCCCTTCTGTCGGTGTAGTTGTGCTAATACAGGCCAATAGGGCCAAAGGTTTTAAGTTTTTTGGCTCGCAAATGGCTTAACAGAAAGTGATTCGGTTGGGAACGTACTGACAGCTTCACTGCTGTCACCTTTTACTGTTTAGAGAAGGTCCATGTGCCACGGGTTGATAACCACTGCTCTGAACTAATTGGCACTTACGTATGTAGACATTCTGCTGTAACTTTTGTTTTGTATTTTCAGTATAAGCAAAGTCAATGTACCTTTGTTTGTCTGTTTATAAATTACCTCCTCTTCTTTCCCCGCCTCCAGAGAGTGCTGAGTCATCAAGATGATACAGCTTTGCTAAAAGCATACATAGTGGAGTGGCGCAAGTTCTTCACACAGTGTGATATTTTGCCCAAGCCATTTTGTCAGTTAGAGATCACTTTAATGGGCAAACAGGGCAGCAACAAGAAATCTAATGTAGAAGACAGTATTGTCCGAAAGGTAAGTGATAGGTGTTCAAGAGTTCTGCTGCACGCTCTGTTCTGCCTTGGGTAAGGCTAGGAAAGGTGCTCTGTACTGAAGATGAAATTGCACCAAGGGTGTTACGTGATGTATCGCTTTGCTTCGAGTGTGAGGGTCAAAACAAGTGTGAAACTTTCATTTTCATCTCTGTGGCAACTTAACTCTTGTTTTGCTTTGGCTTTGTTCAAGTGATTAAAACAGCTTATTAGGGTTATTAAAGTTTTTGTTTGATAGATTTATTAATTTTTTAATGTAATAAATTGTTTGTTTGTTTTTTAATTTAAATCCCAGTGGAGGGGCAATTGTAAACTCACCCCTACTCTTTATATACTTGCATATGTTATATAGTATACTCACCTCCATTTACACAAGTGCGTAGTTTCTACCCCTAGTTTATTTCCCTAGGGCAGGATCTTAACTGGGGTGCATCTCTGTCTTTTATAGATGAACACTGTCATCTCAAGTTAAATACAGCTGTTGATCTCAAAGTCTCCTGTATTTCCTACAGGCTGTCAGTCACATCAGTAAAAGTTTTGTACAGGCAAAATCTTATTTCATACACCGTTTCATGTCGAAGAGGTCAGGGAATGTGGTGATCAGTCGAGGCGTATTGGCTTGAAACTAAAAGAGGGGAGATTTAGATTTCATATTGGGAAGCACAGGCTGCCTAGAGAGCAGTAGATGCCCCATCCCTGGAGGTGGTGGAGGCCGGGTGGATGGCACTCTTAGCAGCCTGGTCTGGTGGAAAGTGTCCTTGCCCACAGGAGGAACTAGGTTGTCTTTTTGGTCGGTTCCAAAACAAACCATTCTCTGGCTCCAAATCAGAATGGTAAGGAATGTGTAGGGGTTTTGAGTGCAGAGCTCTTAGTGTTCTGAGTCCCATAAATAAATGTCCTTGAAGTTGCTTTTATCTTTTACTACCAGAAAAAACAAAGCGTATCAGTTGTAGAGGGGTAAGTTCTTCAGTTTAATGTCATTTGTTATCTTCTTCCATCACAGAAAGTATAGATAGCGAAATGCAGTTTTGTTAACAGTCTTTTGGTATTGAAGATCATTTTAACTTTCCTGATATGGACAGGAAGAATAAATGAGCTCAAATGGGCTACCTGGGGTGACTTTTTTTTCCCAACCACTTGTTGTGACATGTAACCTGCTTTAGAAGGAAAAGAAGCAGGAACAGCAACAGAGAGAAATCACCACCTCAAGTTACCTTTTTTGTTTTGAGTGTTTGTTAGAAAAAGCACGTGGTCTCAGTAGGCTCTCCAAGATGTGGCAGACTTGAACTCTGCTGTATGGCAGGAGACTAAGAAATGAAAGAAAAGGCGAGGTGGGGCAGGGCAAATAATAAAATACTGGTGACTACCAGTTCAGATACTGTTCAGGAGTGAAACTGATGTCTGTCTCTCACATGCAGTTCAGTTAAGTCCGTGTCATGATTCAGTCATCAAAACCCAGTCTCCAAACTATCTTATTTCGTACTTACTGCTGAAAGCAATTACCTGGCATCATTTCCCATAAGTTTCTACAAAGCACCTTTGAAAACTTTTCCCATTCTTGGAAAGTTCTTTATGTACTCAGAACAATCTGCATATTTTGCTTCAAATATCTCCATCAAATTATTTTCTATCCATGATGTCTAAAAACAGCTTGACCATGACAAAGCTGTGCCTTTGACGTTGGTTGACATTCTCCCTGTTTTCTTCTCTGTTTGTTACTCATTTCAGCTCTTGTAAACCCATTCTGTGATCATACAGTGCAACTATAACATGTGTATTAATGATGTTAAGATAATGAAAAAGTAATTGAGGAAGCATAATCAAATACAGCTTTGTTTTTAAAGCATTGCAATGTTTTAAGCAATACAGATTGAAATGCAAGTTTAGCTGAAATTAAGAAAATAGAGAATTTAGAATAAAGAAAGGCCACCTTAACTCTCTGAAAAGGATATCTGCCTTGCTGTGTTAAAATCTAAAAGGTACAAAGCAGGAATGGAGGACCATGTAATCTTACCATTCACTTTGCCTTATAGCAGTATCAAGTCTTCCTAATCTCATTTTCTGTAAGCTTGTTCACAACTGTGAAGCAGAGTTTAAATCTGTATATTTCACAATTCAAACCTCCTTTCCACTGTCAGTGCAGACTGATCATTGGTGTGCTTAAAGAGCATTCAGAGTAGTTATTGCCATGTTTGAAGATACGTGATGAATATACTTTGCTTGCATGTTGAACTTTCATGTTGGAGAAATGCAATCCAAAAACATCTTTTTTTTTTCCTTTATGTAAGTGCCATGTTGAGTTGTAGTTGTTGTGGAGACTGAGCCTGCCAAATGCTCAACTGTGTTTGACTCAAAGGTACCCCTAGGATTGCAACTCCTGACACATCCCAGTGCTGGGAACGTTACTTGGCTGATTGTTCAAAACTGTAAAATACAGAAATAACACTGTAGAAGTTATACAGGAAAAATACAGAATGATACAATATCTGAATCAAATGATCGCTGCATCCCCTCGCTGTCCAGTTTATAAAGTAAGCTTAGCATATAAGCTGAATATTACCTCTGTGACACGGAAGAGCAAGTTGTTATATAGCCTGAAAACTGCATTCTCATTTGCTTTATTTCTGTTTGATATCTTGTATTTCTTTGTACAAACTCAGATCTGCATGCACCTTTCTGACAGGATTTTTTTTTCTTCCTAACATGCAGCTCATGCTGGATACTTGGAATGAATCCATATTTTCAAATATAAAAAATAGACTTCAGGACAGTGCAATGAAGCTAGTTCATGCTGAAAGACTAGGAGAAGCTTTTGACTCTCAGCTTGTTATTGGAGTTCGAGAATCATATGGTATGTCTTGCACGTGATCTCTTTTGCCTCCTTACTAAAGTAAATGAATTTTTCATTGTAGAAGTTGGCAGATGTGCTGGTAGGGTTGGAATGATTATCCCAGCATTTTGTTTGGATTTTGTCATTATTGATATGAGATACCAATTAAATTATGTTCAAGGTATCTTTAACTTCTAAGTGATTTTGCTATGTATCATTTTCTGTAAAAATCAGTATCTTTAAGGAGCAAACTGCTTGATGTTTCAAGGTTGCAGAAATAACCTTATGCCAGTGCAACTTTCCATACTGCTTGTGATTCTTCAGGCAGTTTGAAGAAGCACTAAGCTGGCTGCATCTAAGACTGCCACTCGTTTTCCTCCTTTGCGAAACAAAACCTCTGTCCATTTCGGCATTACCTGTCTTTTCTTCAAAGCCCTGCAGCCTGTTTTTCTGGTTGTCTGCAGTTAATTTAAGTCTTCTGGAGCAAAGATTGGAGGATTGGTTACCTTGAATTCAGAGCACCTTTGCAGGATGCATCAAATTGTTCACTGCAACCTTTAAATATAAAACTTACTTCACTGAGAGAGATTTGCTTATTGTTAGCCACACGAATTTCCAGGAATTAAGTTTAGACTTTCTCTTTGCAGTTAACCTTTGTTCTAATCCTGAAGATAAACTTCAGATTTATCGAGATAACTTTGAAAAGGCATATTTGGATTCAACGGAGAGGTTTTATAGAACACAAGCTCCCTCTTATTTACAACAAAATGGTGTACAGAATTATATGAAATATGTAAGTAAAAATTCTGCTGTAATTTTGTTCTGGAAATGTTGGTGCTTAAAATGATGGCTGTTCTACTTCTGCACAGGCAGATGCTAAACTAAAGGAAGAAGAGAAAAGAGCACTACGATATTTAGAAACAAGACGTGAATGTAACTCTGTGGAAGCAGTGAGTACATTGTGTAGAAAAATTGCCATATCCTATGTTTTATATATTATTATTAGCCATGAGTTGTCATTTCTGTGTGTTACAGCACAGTAAGTTGTTACGAAACTGTTTTCTTTTGTAAGAATTATCCACTGTATTCTTTTCTTGTGAAAATCTGTATTTATAATCTGGCAATTTACAATTTCTACAGATATTTTAATTGTAAATGTAGATTATAGTTCAAATTAAAGAGCCGTTTTTTTGTCCAAATGTATTTTTGCTCTTTCATTTTGAGTCAGGATTTTTTCTATGCTTAACAGTGGATGAGGATGAAAATAAGTATGCAGTCTAGTGAGCGAAGGGCGTCTCAAGGCTCATTTAGAGTACCTGAAAATGTTACTGCTCACTGCAATCAGAAGGAGCAATGAAAATTTCATTAAAACTGTTCTAGATTTCCTCTTAGGCTGAAATATGGCCATTTAGTACGTTCTGCTCGTGACCCTTTCCCCCCACTTGAGCAATATTTCACACAGTTCAGACTCCGGAGGAAGATTTAACTGCAGTGAGTAGTTCATAATTGCCTATGTTGGAATCAGTTCAGGAAACAGGTTATTTTAAATAAATACCCTTTAAATCTGAATTTACTGCAGTTGATGAAAATTTATTTTATGTCTTGTGTTAAGCTATAAATCATTCATTTTACATAGCTATAACTTGTATAAAGAGGCTGACAAAAGAGAAATGGTCTGGACATGTACAAGCAGTTTCTGTGCTAGATCTAGCTGTAGTGCCTTGTTCAAGCCACCCAGCCTGGTCCAAATAGGGTGTGCTGGAATGAGAACTATTCTTAGCTCTTGGATGTATACTTGGAAACTAAGTAGGGTAGTTGGTGTTCCAGAAGCGATGGCTCCCTTGAGGGGAAAAAGGCAGTAGAAATATCAAGCTGATTGCTAGCTTGGAAGTGTTCTTATCACATTTGCTATCCTACACATTTTAAAGAAATACAGTTTCATGTATAGACTTTCCTGAAAGTACACCCACTTCTGAGAATTAATGAATTGCTTTATATTATTAATTATTTTATACAGCATACGTGTTGTGAACAGCCTAGATTTTGTGTCACAGGAAACTTGAGGCTGATGAGACTTTCAAGGCTAGATGAGCTAATTCTGTGTTTGCTACGTTTCAGCTGATGGAGTGCTGCGTCAATGCCCTGGTGACATCTTTTAAAGAGACCATTTTAGCCGAATGCCAAGGCATGATCAAACGAAATGAAACAGAAAGTAAGTGAGGCCTCAGAGCAGTGCGGGATGAACTCAGCGCTGACTGCATAAAAATAGATCTGCTGGTAGATCGAATTACTGTTTTTAATAGATAGTGGCAGTGTCTCACGGATAGAATGTTACTCCGTGTAGGGAACTTGTCCCACAAAAATGATTGGTGGTGGTGGTTTTTAGTCACACTTCTGAAATCTGTAGATACAGTACCCTAACTTGAATGACCGAGCAGCTCTGATCTTACTTGAATTAAATGAATACTTTGTTACTCTTTTTATTTAATATTTATTTATATTTTCCTTGTTTTTCCTACCACTTATTTTCTTCATGTCGACTAATTTTGCATGTGTGTCATTTGTTGATTTGAGTAGTTCAGATGCACAGTGTCATGTTGTCTCATCTCCCCCCCCACCTCCAAAAAAAGTGAAGCATCTCTTTTCAAAGCTTTTTTTCTGCAAAGCAGGGATATTTTTCTTATTCTGGTTATTGTTGCAGGATCAATAGGTCAGTGAACCAAATCTCTGCAATTGTTTGTGACTGAATACTGCATGTTAGCTCTGTGCCTTTTTGAAGTTTTAAAAAGGCATTCTAGCTTTGCTGCCAGAAATTGGGAGGTTAGTGTTCAAAAGTTTTGAGCTATTCCTGTATGAGAAAATGAACTAGACAAATCCTCAGAAAGTCATAAATCGAGCCAAAATCACATGGTAATTACTTTTTTGAAGGTTCAATGTCCTGCAGACAGTATTTTTAGTATCTATATAATGCAAAGGTGAAAACACTTTTTTTATAACTTAAAATAGCGTAGGAAATATTTCTAAAGGTAGCATTTCAGAGAATATTTGTCCTCCCAAGCTATGTCGTGCCAATCTGCTTGTGTAGCAGTGTGATTTCTGGCAGTAATCCAAAGCTAAATCTAGAAAGCCACCAGCTTCATGTGAGTATAGGTTACAGCCTTTGGGAGATGCAGGTGGTTTATTGAAATGAAGAGCTCCAGATGATTTCATCTACAGTATCCAAAGCATTTTTCTTTAGAAACTTGTTGAATTTTTCCCACAGTCCTTTTTGGTTTTGGCTACCTCTGCCCAGTATTGCTGCCTGGTTACAAAGTACTTCTGTTTATGTTTGCTGTATAAGAGCTCAAGCATCTCTCCTTTTTTTTTCCTTTTTTTTCCTAGACCTAAGTTACGCTGTTTAAAATGCCTTAGTGAAGCATGCAAGTGCAGATGATTAAACATTTAAAGACTAGAACTATACATAGTAACATATACATAAATCTGAAAGTGTCCTTTGCTATATTCTTCACTTGTGCATATGCCTTTCTGATGTTAATTGCCTCAAAAAATGTCTTAATTTTTATCTTTAATGAACAACATCAGACACAGAGGAGCTGGGTTTGTGGCTGTGAGCTGGGCATTGATGTAAAATGCTCTGTTAAGTATTGGATATTTACATGCCCTGCAAAGGAAGCAACACATGATGTTTTCTGCCTAAAATATATCCAAGATGTCATGACTTGCAAATGCTTCAGAATCATTTTAGTGTCTTTTTTGTTTGCTTATAGGATTAAGGATGGGAGGCCTAAATTCTGTGGAAGTTGTTTGCGTGCCTCCAACAACGATAATGTGTTCTTTTACCTTTTGTTTTCATAATGCATGCATTCGGAGAGGAATGCTTCATTAAAATGTTCCTTTTTCTTCTCGATTTGAAATCTGTCTTTGAAGACTCTGCAGTCTTCTTTCTCAGACATTCTTTTACAAGAGACCACTGCCTTTTATTTTTTTTGCTGTCAGCTTATTCATACCATCGCTGTCTTAGAGAAACAGAAAGTGGTGCCCTTTGATATATCTTTTCCTTCCCACCCTTTTCTTCTCTCATGTCTCTTCCCTGCTCCCACCTTGTTTTAAAGTACAGATGAAAAGATCAAATAAAAGTTGAGTGAGCTTTTTGGACTTGCCCTGAGTAGTGCAGTGTTGCCATCACCTACAGCACATCTGAATTGCACTGGCAACTTTGACTTAGTTTTTTCCTGATTTCTGAAATCCTATTGGTTAGCCCATTCCAAGTTGTCTCTCTAGTTGCAGTGCAAGCTTTTCTTGAAGGTTGTTGGTGGTTTTCATTCCTTCATTTGTGCTGTGACGTTCTGAGAGGTTTTTGGCTTTCCTGTGTGGTTCTGCAGCAGTTGTTGGGATATAAAAGTAACATTTCATTTTCTGTGGTGATAGGATCCTGCAGATGTTGCTGACAGAAGTATTGCAAAGGAGAAAACATAAGCAGAACATCTTATTTCTGGCTCCCTTTTCTGTAGATGCGACATTGAGAAACTAAGCAAATCTGTCATCTTTTTTCCATCCAAAAAAGATTCGGAATCCACCACCAGTTTGTTCTCCTTCATTAAGCAGAGAACTTGGCTGTGTTTAGTCTCTCTGTGGACTCTACAATTATTTTAACCCAGGTGTTTTGCTGTGAACAGCTTTCTGGGGGTGATTATTGCTGGCTCAGTAAATATTAATCTTTTTGTAATGTTGAAATAACTTCACAAAAAGAAGATAAACTGTACGAGTTTTTTAAGTTTTCAAGCTGGTAACTTTCAGAAGAACTCTGGGGAAAAGGAAAGGAGAAAGTGCTGTTTATCCTGGTCAGTTAAACTGCCTGAGACTTTGGTTCACTTAGATGAAACATTGTAGATCATACTTGAAGGCACACAAAGTGAGCTCTGTTTGGATTTAATTTAGGAGGAGAAGTCTTGAGTCCATATAATTTTATACACAAACTCTTGTAGGCTTCCAGCTGAAAGAGGACCATTTTTGCTGGGCATTAAGGCATTTATGCTGAACCTGGATTTAATTGAAGTTGCTGCTGACTTCATTGTATTTTTTAAAATTCAATTTTATATTAGGTGCATAAGTAAGTGTTACCTTACAACAGATGTTTCATTTCAACTTAGAGGAACATCCTTGTGGGGTCAGGCCTATTAGTCTTCAAAGCATTTTTACTTCTTAACAGATTAACTGAATTATCTGTTCTTACACTGTCAGTTCCCTACTTGAGATACCCTTAAGTAAAAGTGCAGCAATTCTGTGTTTTGTTCTTGTTACTTTTTAAGAAAGGTTTTTGACCAGTGACTTTATCAGTATTTGTATCTTTCAGAATTGCATTTAATGTTTTCACTGATGGATAAAGTTCCAAACGGGATCGAGCCCATGCTGAAAGACTTGGAGGAACATATTGTTAGTGCTGGACTTGCGGATATGGTAGCAGCTGCTGAAACTATTACTACTGTAAGTGACTTGCTTTTAAAAAACAAACAAAGCTGGCAGTTAAATGCTGTAATTGTAGGTCACACATGAGTGGAAATGGTTTTTGAAGATTCTTGGTCTTTCTAAGCATAGAACTTTACAGTATCCTTAGAAATATATATTTTTTTAACTCTTTACATTTTCAATTGTTTCTTTAAGTGATAAGTGCACAGGTTACTTCATTATGTGCTAAGATTAAAAAAGGCATAATTAGTTTTCTCAAAGTTCTAACTTCCTGATGAAATTTGAGATATACTTTCAACTACCAATCCAGATATGGCTTTAAGTGTGGAAATTTTATAAGGTTTGCTTTCTAGCAGTCTTTTCCAGCTTCTTATAATCTTTTTCTCAGGGTCTGGGAAGCCTGGGTATTTTCAACCATTGGGATGTTCATTTTCTTGATCTCTGAAAGCATTTTTTTTTCATTTGGAAGGTATTATACAGTATTTAAAACTTGTATTTTTTCTCTCTGTGTTTATTTTTGTATATAGGAAACATGATCCTGAAAGTCTGTGTTGAGGTTTACAATGCTGTAAAACTCTTGAGTACAGGGAATAAAAATAAAATTCTCCTTTGTAGTCCTGGAGCCCTAGGGAGACTATGGGATTATAGATGAGAGAATTAAGCTCATGCTAACTTCTGTGAAATCTGCTTTTTAATTTGATTGTTGCCTGTTTTAACTTCAGGATTCTGAGAAGTATGTAGAGCAATTGCTTACACTGTTTAATCGATTTAGTAAATTGGTTAAAGAAGCTTTTCAAGATGATCCAAGATTTCTTACTGCAAGAGATAAGGTATGTGCTTCTACTCACCACTCGTTTTCAGCGTTTTAAGAATCGTTAAAAGCAATATTATGATGCCTTGTGAGCACATGGTGCTAAATCTAGAAATTGCTCTGCTCTGATAAGTATGTGAACTAAAAGTTGGTGTAACTTACTAACAACTGATTTGTTTTGAATTGGTTGTGTAGTAATGCATCAAGTTTCATTTGTGTGTAGCTTTGAAAAATTGTTGATCAAAAGATTCTCTGTTTTTGAGCACCTTTAAATTTTAATATTGATTCAGTGATGTATTTATGTTTAGAATTTATTGTGTTGGGGTGTAGTCATACAGTTTCAGATATGGAACCCGTTCCACGCAATTCCTTCCCTTTTAAGTTGTTGGTTAAGGTGGTGTGTTAAGGAAAAAAAAGAGAACGTAAAACATCAGTTAATGGAAAACTGAGTCACAGGGTTTGATCTCTCATATTGAAAATCAAATCTGCAATCTTTGAACCAATAGAACTGAATTAATTTCTTCCTGTGATAACCTAAAAAGGCAGGATAAAACTTTTGTGATTCACATATTGAGAAATTGAAGCTCTGACTATGTGTTTATTTATTTTAGGCATACAAAGCAGTTGTGAATGATGCTACAATATTTAAACTTGAATTGCCATTGAAGCAAAAGGGGTAAGCCATATGAACTTGAATGTGAGTCAGGGTTATTAAATTGTTCAAGACCGAGCTTCTGTTTTTAAATGTCTTCAAGAGGTAACACTGCATTTAAAAGTGCCTTCTCTTATAAAATTTCAGATGGATTATCCAGCCCTGTTGAGATGCGTTTCGTGTGGGAGCAGATCAGCGAATAGCAGTGTATTTAAACAGCTTTGTTTGTAGTAATTGTGAATCTTTTGTTTTGTAGTAATGAATCCGTTTGTTAGTTGAATTTAGGAATACTTTCCTGGATTATTGCTTCCAAAAAACTGAGCTGTAGAACTGCCAAACTCCAGTAAAAGTACTGGGTAATGCTTTGAGTGTGACCTGTGCGGGTTTTCTTTCTTGGTTGCAGTGTAAAATTAACCAGGTTAGCTTAAACATCTTTCAGTAGAAGATTAAGCTGACATGCACTTGAGAGGAAAATGATGCTGATGGGGGCAACTCTGCTAGTTCAGCCTGGAGGAGATAGAAGTCAGTCAGATGATTGTTAGCATTTAACTTACGGTGGTTGGGATTGCTTATGTGTCGTTTGTAGTCTGACACTACAGAACCAAAGGCTGGCAGCTGCAACTGAACTGGTTTGTCCAGTCTTACTGAAGTTAGCTGAGGGGCACATATCTCCAGTTCCTATGCCTTTTGTGAAAATAGGAGCACGGGTAGATAGAAGACGCAGCAGAAGACTGAAAGAGACACTTCCTACTTTGGAAAAGCCAGGCAACAGGAGACATGGATCCATATTGATCTTGTGTTGGCTAGAGCACGAGTTACTGCATTCTTATAGTTTCTGGTGTTGAGATTATTTTAAAAAAAATGCCAATATGAGTTTCAGAGGTGCTTTTTATTGATTTGCTAGAATTTCCTTATAAACTGAGCATTTGTCTGTTTTATGGAACATTTGCAGGGTGCACAAAATTATGTGCATTCTCTGGCAAGCCAGTCTGCGCTTTCTAGGAGCCGTGGATAAAATAAAATGTCTGCTATCTCACAAGACACCTGTACAAGTTGAAATGATTCTCTGCACTTTTATTAGTGTGGGTAAAGCCTGTATTTTTCCTATTTCCAGTTTATCATGTCTCATTCTTCCCAATAAATAGTCATCAATTTATCTTTTTCTTAGGGGAAAGGCATAATGAAACTACACTTCTCAGAGTTTATTATTTAGCACTTGTGAGTTGGGAGTAGCATAGGTATTGAAGTCTGTTCAGTATTTTTGTACAGAGAGTCAGAGAATGGTTGAGGTCAGCAGGGAGCTCTGGATCCTTCTGGCCCAAGCTCTGCTGAAGCAGGGCTGCTCAGGGCTGTGTCTAGATGACATGTGCTTCTTAACACTGTTTGCTTTTGGACTAATAGTAATGTGGGACGGAGATTAGCCTTGCTGGTTTTATTACTGGAAAAACACTCTCACAACGGACTGGATCCCTGCTTTGCATACTTTGTAAAGATGTAGGCAAGATGGACTTTTTTTCTATGTCTGTGTTTAGATTTCCCATGGGAGTATGCAAATCAGTGTCTGTATTTGACTCCTAAAAGCTAAATATACCTGGTGATCTCTTAGTGACCACTGTGATGGCAGTGGTCTTCTGTTCAGCATTCTTCTTCTTAAGCTCTTTCAAGTTCCCTGTGTATACAGTCTCTTTTAGCATTTATCTACTGTAGATAGCAAGCAAGGGTGAGGGAATGAGCAAGAGCACTGGATTCCTGAACATCCCCAAGGCTTCTTCACTGCAGTCTTGCTCACTGCCTTTATTTTTCCAAGGGAATCCATTACAGAGAACGTTGGGCAACGATTTGAGACTAGAAATCAAGTTGGTGCCACCTGACACTAGGAATAATTTTATTCAACAGTAGGTTACAGGTTCAGAATGCAACCTTGTGATCGCAGGCCTTTTGAAGAACCTCAGTCTGTATACTGTAGTATCTCCTTGTTAACCCTCAAACTATTTAATCTGCCAGCTGTTAGCCTCCTGTTTCTGCCTCTTATGAAATAATTTCATTGTGTTGCTACATGATACGTGTGTCAGGTTTTGCCTCCTGGGCACTGCAGGAAGTTGTTCTTGAGAGTTGTCAAGAGGCCATACTGATGAGTGAAATATCTGCTAAGTTTTTGCTGGAATCCTCACTATCATTTACTTGATTAAAACTACAGTTTGAATATAATTGTACTTAGAAAGTTCTAAAATGAAAAGCAGTTGGAATGATCAAGCTGTAAAAGCTGTCTGAAAATGCTTAATAGTATTTATTCTTCCAAGAGGAAAAGGGAGTTGTCCCTAGTTCTTCATTAGTGTTGAATTCCCTTGTTCCACTATGGCTCTGCCAAGGGGAGTGCTTGGTCTGTCTTGTTCACAGTGTGACTGCTCCAGAATAACAGGATTCTCTTCAGTTTGAAGATATGTTGTTCTTTCTTTATTTAGTGTTGGATTGAAAACACAGCCTGAATCCAAATGCCCTGAGCTTCTTGCTAATTACTGTGACATGTTGCTAAGAAAAACACCACTAAGCAAAAAATTAACCTCTGAAGAAATTGAAGCAAAGCTTAAAGAAGTGGTATGTTCTTGCTTTCTTCTACTTGATTAGTCTGAAGAATGAATTTGGTTGGTGTATTTCCTCATGTGGGTCAAGGCCTTGATCTTGGAAAATAGTTATGTGAAGTGCAGCAGTAGGGAACGAGTTTTGTATCACAATGCATGTGTGTTTGTATCTTACTGCCCATGTGGAGTTTCATACCTCTTTGTTGTCTTCACCAAATTAATATGCTGAAGTATTGCTCATTTAAGCTCTGGTGTGTTACGGTAGTGAAGGTTAGTGCAGAAAACAACACAGGGTGCTTCATATTAATGTCTTCTGTGATCTAAGAGAAGTTCCTGATGGCTGACAAAGGAACAATGTGAAGGTGCAACATTATAAAAGCTTGATAGCTGGAGGCTGTGATAGCACAGCATGGGTCCTCTTCAGTCACCCAAAAGTAGCCTTTACTACTTCATAGTCTACGGGGGCATTAGATGGGCATTTAAAGATTTGCCTAATGGTGCAAATAAATACACTAAAATCTTTTTTGACAGCTTTTGGTACTTAAATACGTACAGAATAAAGATGTTTTCATGCGATATCACAAAGCTCACTTAACAAGACGCCTGATATTGGATATATCAGCTGATAGTGAAATTGAGGAGAACATGGTGGAGTGGCTCCGGGTGAGTAGCCTGTTGTCCTTCTGTACTCGGCAGTTCCCGTTGTGTGTGCTAGTAATTCTCATTCTTAAATGCTTTAATTCCTACTCCTTGCTTCAGCAAGTTCTGTTTTAAATAGCAGGCTGTGCAGGTCATCTTATACTTCCATTTTATTATGAAACTTTGTGAAAGTAAAACAGCTGAGCTTTTATTAAGAGGAATGTTGATCCTAAGAGTGATAATTATAGTTTTTAAAATATTTTGTGTATCTGTAAACCATATTTTCCCTGTGCAAATGAGCAAAATGCAGTGTACTTGTTGTTTAAGCATGTAAATAATTTCACAATTAGACTGTTGGTCTAACTGTGAAATTTTATGTAAATTAGAATATTACTTGAATGCCTTCATTCATTTATTCCTTAATGCATGCATACATTCTTAAGCACATGGATTTCTTTAAAAGAATCATCATATACTCTTAAGGGAAACTACTTGTGATACATGCAAAAGAACTCCTTTGTATCACATAAAATTTGTTACAGTGAAGTGATGCTGTCCGTGTACCTCACCGCTCTGTTCTCTTTTTTGAGTTTATTCTTAGTTGCCTCTGTCATAGTTCAGTGTTCTGTTTGTTTGCACAGGAAGTAGGTATGCCAGCAGACTATGTAAACAAGTTGGCTAGAATGTTCCAGGATATCAAAGTATCTGAAGACTTGAACCAGGCCTTCAAAGAAATGCACAAAAATAATAAACTTGCTTTACCAGGTATTGTTTTCATATGATTTAGTGGTTTTAATTTCTTGTGCAGCTAAAAAATCCTGTTGAGCCTTGAGTTAAAATTATGTCAACTGCAGGTTGAACGGTCTTCGGAGCACTGCTACCCCTAGATTGGAACGTCTGTACTTTGCTTTTCTTACAGTTGACTCTTGAGCTATGTCGTTCTGGAAGTTATTGGGTGTATCTTCTAGATATGGGCTTCCTAACTGTAGCTAAATTCCAGGTAGGGCTCGAATCCACCTCCAAGCAGGGGAATGCTTTAACTGTCCCCTTCTTTATGCCCCTGTCATTCTTCATGAGTGCTTTATACTGCGCTCTTCCCTTACCTGCCAGTAGGAGAGACTGATGCACACTGTTAAGAGTTCGAATTGCATTTCTGAGATTAAATTTCACTGATGAGAAAGACAGAACATCCAACCTTGGGCCTGCTGCTGCTGAAACCCCTTGAGAGGTGCTTACCAACATCAGCTGTAGAGCTGCATTACTGCTTAAGGAGCTCTGCGGAGGGAAGACAAAAAAGCTAAGGTTTCAATCAGTATTGCTGACAGAAAGCCAGTGGTCCATAAATGGAGTGCGTTAATGGGTGGGCACCTTGCTGTTTCTGGAAATTCAGTCCCTCCCAGTTGTATTTAGAACAGGAGAAGAATGCATTCTGTTTGTCTGCCTGTTACACCTGCAGTTTCATATAATCCAGTATTGTCTTGCAGCTGACTCTGTGAATATTAAAATTTTGAATGCTGGTGCCTGGTCCCGTAGTTCTGAAAAAGTGTTTGTCTCACTGCCCACGGAATTAGAAGATCTCATCCCAGAAGTTGAAGAATTTTATAAAAAGAATCACAGTGGTAGAAAACTGCACTGGCACCACCTCATGTCCAATGGAATTGTAAGTGTATACTTCTTGGTGCTTCAGTCTGAATGGCAGTACTTTGTGTGTTTATGGTAGCAAGAAAGCTTGTTATCCAGAAAGCCTTTCAAGGAAAATTGTCATTCTGTTCACAGATAACATTTAAGAATGAGGTTGGCCAGTATGACTTGGAGGTAACAACATTTCAGCTAGCTGTGCTGTTTGCATGGAACCAAAGACCCAGAGAGAAGATCAGCTTTGAAAATCTTAAACTGGCAACTGAACTCCCTGATGCAGAACTTAGGAGGACTTTATGGGTATTTTACTTTCTTTTGAAACAGATTTCTTCCTGAGTTTTTGTACTCTGAAGTACGGAATTAATATTTTTAAAGTGCTGTCAGATAATACTTCAATACTTCAAAGTGTGAACGCCTTTTTTCTTAATTAATCGATTGTGAAGCTGGCTTCTTGTACTACTGTTAAGCACACACAGCCTTTACATTAACATGTTCTCTATGCTTGGAATTACGTAACGTAAGCTTTTGAAAACAGCAAGATCTTTCTGGCCATATACAGCATAAAGCACACAGTTGGGATTGTGGTTTGTGGAGTGGGACTGGTCTAATTCTAGGAACTCTTGATAAATGTATGTTGCTTAAAAATAATGCATTTGCTCTACCAGTCTTTTAATAATTTAGCTCACAAAAGAAAAGAGAAATAATGTACATCAGGCAGCACCACACGCTACTTCTGTAGCCGTGAGTTTGTGCGTTTTTTCTTTTTATTATTTTACTTATGGTAACTCATTTCAGAAAGAGATTTGGTAAGCTATGTTTCATCCCTGATTTCACTGGTGACTTTGTGTTGCCCGCTGGCACCTTTGAACAAGGCTGTGTGGTTCCTCCACAACAGTCTGCACAGCAGTGAGCGATGTTCTTAAAGAGTACTTGTTTCCATTTAGAAAGTCTTGTGTTTTATTTTCATTCTTTTTTCCCCCCTTTTTCTCTGTAGTCTCTTGTAGCATTTCCAAAGCTGAAACGTCAGGTTTTATTGTATGAACCTCAAGTCAATTCACCCAAAGACTTTACAGAAGGAACCCTCTTCTCGGTGAACCAGGAGTTCAGTTTAATGTAAGATGATGCTTGAAAATGAAAATAACTATGTGCTTTTTTATAGTTAAAGGAATTCACGTTAACCTTCGTCCTTGGAAGTTCTCAAGATTCAGCTAGACACAGGCTTTGCTGTCCTATAATCATTTCACTTTTAGTGATAGTTGTGCTTCAGACAGGTGGTTGAAGCAGATGACCTCCAGCGGCCCCTTCAGACAAGTGTTTGTATAGTTCTGATTTCTGTGAAGTTAAATTTCTTAAATGCCTGGGGATGAGGTGCAGAATTGGAGGCTCTGCCATCTTCCCGTTGCTAATGAGTCCATGAGGTTTTATGTAGGAAAATGCCAAGTCTGCTGCTGCTGGGGCTTAGTTTCTTGCTCAGGGACATGGTGGTTCATTTGTTCCTGTCGTCAGGATCACAAGCTTTGGGAAATGATGTGAACACATGACAGAAGAGACAGGCTGCACAGAAGTGTTGGGGGTGACCAGTGAAGAATGCCATCAGCTTTTTGCCATGTCTGCTATGATGTCTGTTTTTTCCCTCTATTTTTTTATGCTGTACAGACACTTCTTGTGATGAAAAAGGAACTAGTCCCGTTTCCTGAACTTTGTTGTAAAAACTCCTTTGAAGAACCCTAGTTTTATGTAACTAAACTGAAATATGTTTCTCTAGACATCTGTTCTTTAAAATAGTGCTGGTAACTTCTCAATTTTGAGAGCTATCAGTTTCAGCTGATGAATTTTGTTGTAACATTAGTATATTGGTGGTGGGGTTTTTGTGTGGAGGAATTGGCGTTGAATTTGGATTTGTCAGCCAGTATCCCAGTCCTGCAATGCTTCTAGTCTTATAAATGTTGATACACAGGTGGTTCTCCTTGCTGCTGTAATTTAACTTTAGTAGGAATTCCTTAGTTGAAAATGTATCTTTGCCTTATTTTTATACAATACAACTTTTTCAGAAAAAATGCTAAAGTTCAGAAAAGGGGCAAGATAAATTTGATTGGTCGATTGCAACTTACTACAGAGAGAATGCGAGAAGAGGAGAATGAAGGAATAGTCCAGCTAAGGATATTACGAACCCAGGTAAGTGTGTGTCAGAGGAATCTTACAGTTCTTTTTCTTTCGTTGTGTTATCACAGCCTCCTGTTGCTGATGAATGAAATTAGTGCTTTTTAATCCCACCTGGGCTTCTTCGGTATGGTTCTGATACTTTGTGAGGAGCTCATTCTGTGTGCGTGTGTGCTTGTAGTCACAGCCAGATTAAACTCCAGGACAGCCAACCCGTAAAGTGTCCCACCTCTCTTAACACCCTGGCCATTCTTTTAGCCAAAGGGTTAATGCCTGCATGTGCTTACCAAATGAGAACACCTTGTAAGTGCTACTCTGACACTAAGCTTGTATTTCACAAGGTTTGTCTCAGATCACCCTGACTTCTGCTCAGAGGATGAGCGGGTGAAAAAACACCAGGTTTTAGTGACTAACTCACACTCTAGATGTCAAATTCTGCAGATTCACCATTGACTCGAGTTGTATTGCTTGTGCATCTTGCCAGTGTTCCATTCTGTCACTGTATCACCTTCTTTGTGAAGATAGTTCAGTATCTGCTTAGGCTTAGGAATTGTGGCTTGCAGTTAATACCTGATTACTGACAAATTCAAAGCCATTTACTTCATGGATTTATAACTTCCATCATGCTTTGAACATATCCTAAATTAGCCTTTTGTACACAGTTTCCTTTGGTTTGAGTCTATCAAGTTCTTGGCCACAACCTGGAAGACAACAAACTCCATGGTTTGACCTTGCAAGTAAAGAGTGTTCTGATTGTGGTGTTTGTTTTCTTTTTCAGCATTCTTGATTTACTTTGTTCTTTCTTGTAAGCATAAGGAATAGAAACTCCCAGTAGATCTTCGTACTGTTTTATTCTGAAGTTTAATCGTGATAGTGAACCTGGGCAACTGGCTGTAATTCACAAAGGTGAATTCAGCATAGAAAAGTGTATTCAGAGTGTGTCTTTTTCAAGTGGGTTAAGGTTTGGCCCTCACTTCAGGAATACGTAAGCAAGAGCAGATGTTGGCCTTGCCTCATTTTAATTGAGGTGTCTTAAGTGCAGTACTTACAGTGGCAAAATAGTTCTTATATTTGATTATTGAGGAAGAATATGCATTTCTTTGCTGCCTTGCTGTACCGAGGGTCCCCTGTTAATGCTGTGTTTGCTTTGCCATTTCCACCAGACATTTCAGAATGTTTTTTCTCTCATTCCCCACCAGGAGGCTATCATCCAAATAATGAAAATGAGGAAGAAAATTACTAATGCCCAGCTTCAGACTGAACTGGTAGAAATATTGAAAAACATGTTCTTACCACAAAAGAAAATGATAAAAGAGCAAATTGAATGGCTTATAGAGCACAAATATATCAGAAGAGATGAGTCGGATATCAACACCTTCATATATATGGCATAACGTGAGGACTCTGTGAGATGCTGAGAACACAAATGGAAGGGTGCTTGGACAGACAGCTGCAACAGTTTGTGCTGCAAAGGACCTGTTTTGACTTTCATTACGTATTAAAATCCCTGCCTTACCTTAAAGAGGACTCTATTTTGCCAATCTCATTCAGCTAGCATGATGGCATTCCCTTCATGTTGCACACTTTTAACAGCATGCTGTTTTGTGGGAAACTTGCATTCATGAAGAGCCCATTGTGAACTTTTAAAAGTAGATTTGACTTACACCCACCAGGAAGAATACAGGTTTGGGTTTTTAGATGACCAGTACTTGCACAAAGGAAAAATATTCAAATATTCATGCACTGAGGAACTGCTACTAGTTTTGTTTTGGTTTTTGTTGTTGGTTTTTTGTTTTTTTTTTAATGCAATTAGGACTAGAAGTAGCACTTTCACTTTTGTGTTTTGGATCAACAGAGTCATGTACTGTCCACCTTTGATCCTTTTTGTAATAACATTTGAGAGACACATGCCTCACAAACTGATACATATTTGTTTTCATTAAAATCTGTTGGCTAGAGCAGTGCTTCAATCTAGTAACTGGATTTTAATATTTGACACATAAGTGACATGAAAATAATTCCAACTCATGGGTGATACTTTCCTTTAAGCAAGAGAGCATTGTTTTTAAATTGCTTTCTGTAAAGAAGTGGATATACATTATTTGTTACTTTATTTGGACAGATGATTTGGTACAATCCTCTTTGAGAAGGCAAAGCTTTCTTGAATGATATTCCACTATAAAAACAGTTTCCATAGATAGGTCTGTTATTCAAACAAAAATATTAAATGTATTTCCTTGTACATTTAATATTTGTATTCCAGGTATTTAAATATGACGTACATGTAAGCGCATTAAAGAGAAATTGGTACCCAAATTCTCAGAAGATAACACTCAAAGATTCCTGTATTAATTCCTCACTGGTAGCTCTCTCTGTATGTATAGATGTAAGGTTAATCACATATTGGCTCTTCTGTTCCTTGAAAGTCAACATCTTTGAAACTGTCAGAATGGGAAATGCAGTTCTAACTGAAATGGTAAAAAGCTTAGGAAAAACGCCCTGTGTGATGTATGTGGAGAGAGTGCCAAGGACACACCAGGAATTCCAATTTCTTAATGTTACCTCTTCTGTTGTCAATCATCTGAAGTAGTTGTTTGGCAATGCTTGCCTCTCTGCTGCTCTGAAATGCCCCTGCATGTCCTGGGCTGTAATAGGACTCACTGGAGCAGAGTGCCTGTCTTGGGATAAAAGGTAAGTTGAGCCTTACTCAGTTCTGTATGAATATTCGTATATAAATTGCAAGTGTGCATTTTTTAATTTACCAGTCAAGAACAATATCTCAAGGTCTTCTCAAATGATTGAAAGAGGGTAGAGGATAGGATTGACCTTAGTCAGAAAGGAAAACCTTCCATTGAAAGGAGGAGTTTATTTTTACATGGTTGCAGTAAAGGGTGAAATAAGAGCAGTTTAAAAGCAAACTCACTGCAGGAGTGGCTGTTTGCCCCCTTAAACCAGCTGCTTGGTCTGCTTACTAATGTACTTGCCATCGTGACTGCCTGCGTGTGGTGTGTGCTTGGTCCTCTGTTTGACTGAGGAATTTGCAGTACTGGAGGTTTCACGAACAAGAAGAGATGTAGAGACGCCGAGACCTGGCAAAGTAGTGTTTGCAAACTACAAATTAAGCTCGATGCTTTTATTGATTAAAAACAGTTGATGCTGTTCAAAAGTACCGCATCTTTTTTCTTCTCCTATGGTGTTGCTATTTAGAATCAAAAGCAAGTGGTGCTCTGTGTAGTTAGCCACTAAAACCATTCAAATGGTAGAAGACAAAATTCTAATAAAATCCTTGTGCTACGGGCGTTTTGGTATATGGAAGGTAAATTACAGGCAGTGAGTGCTCAGTTGAGATAGTTGGGAGAAACTGACAACCCAGAGCTCTAAAACATGACAGTCTGAGCACAGCCTCCACCATAAGAAATTCCAGCCCTTAAGCACAGGAACGCACAGACGGAGCGCTGTGAGGGGGCAGTGCAGCTTCTGAAGCCATTGACTTAGGTTGAGAGAAGTTGAGAGTGTCTTACATGCAATCATTCAGGAAGTTGGAGCGCATGCAGAAAGCAGCAGAGTGTTAAAATCTAACAAACTGTTTTCCCTCAACTAATAAGTATGAAATAGTATAACCTCAAAGTTACCTATGTACCTTCTCAACACCTGGGATGTGGAAATACACTTGGTAATGTGCCTACAACATGGTCATTTTTCTTTAAATATATGCTGAAAATGGATGTTGGTTTTTTATTAAATCTAAGAATCACACCAGCAAATTTGTTAAAGATGCAGAATCGTGTTTAGCATCCTTCATCAGGTCACTTTCACCAGTATGCACTTAGAACTCCTATCAGCTGGGGCACAGGGAGGTAGCTGGGCTGAATGTTCTTTTGAGGATGGCAGAGTTCAGCTCTGAATGAAAATGAACTATTCTTCATTTGCAATATGGCAACAACGCACTTTTAAGGCTACAGTTCTTAGCTATGAATTCATATGTCCAAAGACCTTGCTTAAAAGAGGTGCTGCATCTGAGAAGCATGTTGCCACACACTGCCACGGTGAACGGCTATGGAGAAAACCTGTTGTAGACAAGGGGGGGAATCGCTCTTAATGGGTTTAATTAAGGAATACTGTTAAAACTTTCTCTGTCCCAACAACGTGATGAGGATCTCAGTTTCAATTTTGAAGTCTTCCATTTTCCTCTTTCCACAGTTGGTGTTCCTAGCTCCTATTTTTGGTCATCTTTCATTCATGTGTTATGACTGTAATGCAATTGCGTTTCCAAAAGGAAATGTGACTTTCCTGTTATCACCTTTATAAACTTAACCTAAACGTATTGAATGTTCACACGTTGCATTGATTTGCATTGGGATGCCATTGTCCTGTAAAGTGCGCATTTTAAAAATACAATTGGCAAAAAGATTTGATAGTTTTACAGAAAGATTTGCTATCTCAAACCGTTTTCTATTTTCATCGAAATGACTGGGATGCTACCTTTGTAATTCTTTGAGGTCAGATTTGTGAAATAAACAATACACGAAAGCTTTCCTGTCATATACACTATATGTAGTCTGGAGTGTTGAGCAAACTTGAGTTCCTGAGTTGTAATATCTATCTGCGTATGGTATTTACAATTTTGAATGTGTGCCACTACCGAGGTGATAACGCTGTACAGTTTGGAATGGTGGTAGTTTCTGTATGGCAGTCCAGCTGAACTATTTTGATGTACTGCTTAATTTTTGAATTTTATTTTTTAAGTTGTATAATTTATTTTCTTGCAAAATAAAAATGTAATATAAAAGACTACGCATGTTAGCAAGATATTTTGGTCTTTTTCTCCTGCTAAAGGTTTTGGTCTCTTTCAGGCGCCGCTCCTAAAAAACACCAGTAGCTGGAAGTGGCTGGATTCCGAGTCTCAAAGTTTATTTTGATCAGTGTCAGTTTAGGAAATAAAAAGCAAAAAGGCAAAGTGGGGTGAGGGAGGAAAGGCGCATAAAGACTTATAGCTCCTTTCTTGTCAGGGCCTTCAGGTACTGAAGTCTGCAATGACTTAAAATGGCCATCACTGATCATTGCTGGTGCCATCACCATGTTGCTGGGACTGGCTCACAGAATCACAGAATGGCCAGGGTTGGAAGGGACCTCAAGGATCATGAGGCTTCAACCCTCCCCCCATGCCCCACATGCAGGGCCACCAACCTCCCCATTTAATACTAGACCAGGCTGCCCAGGGCCCCATCCAACCTGGCCTTGAACACCTCCAGGGACGGGGCATCCACAACCTCTCTGGGCAGCCTGTTCCAGCACCTCACCACTCTCTCTGGAAAGAATTTCCCCCTGACATCCAACCTCAATCTTCCCTCCCTCAACTTAAAACCATTTCCCCTTGTCCTGCTGTTATCTACCCTTTCAAAGAGTTGACTCCCCTCCTGTTTATAGGCTCCTTAATAGCCTCATTTTGCTCCAAGCTGTGTGGGAACTTGGCTGCTCCAAGCTGTGCTTCTGTGATGGCTTCTCTTCTCTGATTGTCCTTTCATTTCAATGGGAGTTTTATTCTTACTTCTCAGCTCCTTTTTTTCTCTTAGTGCACCAGTGAAACCCAGCGTTTTGTGCTTTCTGGTACATGCAAAGGTTTGTTTGAGTGGAATAAACAGTTTCTTTGATTGACTCTTCAGCAAGCATGGCAATTATCGACCTGGCAGTTGCTATCGGCAGAGCTTTCACAATGACTTTGTGTGGTCACAGCTTAGGCATGATCAGTGGCCTAAATGTGGAAGGCTTCAAACCTTCATTCTTCTGATAAACCTAGAACCTGGCTTTATCTTCATCTTTGCTTAACACGGCAACATCCTTGAGCAGTGCACAGGCAGGGTGCCTGCTTATCATTTCAGTCGTTTTAGCAGTGGAGATCTGCTTGGTGACGTGAGCTGGGTGCTGTGCGCTGCACCAAGTGCCATCCGAGCAGTGTGCAGGAGGGGAGTGGTTGGAGAGCGCGTGCTCTGCTGCTGCTTCCATCTGCTCAGCTGTGCTGTGGGCACCTGACTCACTTCCTGAGCTGAGGGAAGGAGCACACTGTGCTCCATTTCAATAGAGTGAAAGACTGAAATCTGAAATTACCAACACTGAAGTTAGGACATTATAGACGTTACTGGTGTGAAGTGGTAAAAGAATTAAAGAAGGGAATGTGCTGTCTTCTTCTGTGCACTTCTATTGTGAAGACCAAGGTCTAACATCACTGTACAGCTCAGGATTTGCTACGTATTGATTTCTACTACTGAAGACATTCAGGGAAGTGGCACACCTCCCTTCAGCAGCAGGGAGCTGCAGGAACAAATTCAGCAAGCAAGCAGGGCTCACTGCACTAGGCAGGCACGCTGGGTGTCTCAAAGTCCCCCGGGGCAGATGCCATTCTGCTGTCACTTCTGGGGGAACTGGGGTATGAAACAGCTTCTGTCTGTGCTGCATTGCCCATCACTGCAGCCAGTCTTGGTGCCAGGGTTCTTAGTGAGCTTTATCTTTGTCTTTGCTTAACGT